CAAATGAGAACTTGGGCGAACCGAAACTTGCGCAGTTCTTGCCTCAGGAACTGCGTCGTCTAGTTTTCCTCCTCGTTAGGCACGGGCCGTCGACGCATAGGAGAAGGCGAGCGGCGGCGTGGAGAGGGCGAGCGAAGACGTCCCGACCGAGGGCGGTGGTCATCCTGGTAGCGGGCTGGCGTTGGAGTGGAGGAACCGTATTGCGCGTTGGAGTCAAGCGGGAAGAAAGGCTCACGGTGGTTTTCATTGGTGATATGCGTCCGGCGGCGGCAATACCTTGCGACGTGTCCGGGGTATTGACAAGCGTAACATATCGGGCGATTGTCGAGGGTGCAGCCACGGGTTGGCGGTGTTAGTGCTGGTCCAGTGAACTGGAGCTGGGGGATAGCTCGCACGAGGCTGGAACGGAGGCGCAGGCACCTTGCGAGTTGGCATGGCTGCAGCCGCGGCGTAGGTGAGAGGAGCAGCCACAAGATTATGCTCGCGAGCAGCTGGTAAGGCCTCGGCGACCTCTCCTTGAATGACGCCACGAAGAGACGATGGTAAAGTTGTGGTAGGTTCTGGTGTGAAGGGCACCAAGGAAAGCTGTCGTGCGACTTCTTCGCGGAAAAATGCTTTTACTTCGGCTATTAGTGACGCTTGGTCATGACCATTGATCACACTAGACAGTGATGCCAAATTGTGCGCTGGAGGACGTCTTGTCACAGCTCGCTACTTCCGTAATTCATCGTAGCTTTGGCAGAGGCTAATTACATCGTTAACAGTGGTCGGGCTTTTCGCCAAGAGCATTTGAAAAGCGTCGTCGTCAACAGTGGTCGGGCTTTTCGCCAAGAGCATTTGAAAAGCGTCGTCGTGAATCCCTTTGAGAATGTGCTTACATTTTTCAGCTTACGTCATTGCGGCGTTCACGCGTCTGCACAAATCGACGACGTCTTCTATGTAACTAGTGAAGGTTTCACCAGTTTCTTGTGCGCGTGTGCGTAAACATTGCTCGGCACGAAGTTTTCGAACGGCAGGTCGATCAAAGACTGCTACAGTCGACGTTTTAAATTGCGGCCACGTTCGGATGTCTGCCTCGTGGTTTCTAAGCCAAAGGCTGGCTACACCCGCGAGGTAGAACGACACTGCGTCAACTTGTCCGCGTCCGTCCATCTGTTTAAAGCGCTCACCCGTTCGAAAGTCGAGAGCCGGTCTTCAACGTCGTTGTTGTCTGTTCCGCTTAAGATTGGAGGCTCCCGCTGAGGAACACTGCCTGAACAGGTGGCCGGAAGAGATGGAAGCGTCAGCTGATCGGCGTCCGGCATAGCAGAAGGTAGCCGTCGAGAACGAAGTTCCAGGATAGTAGCGGGAAGGTATAGGGGACGGTACCCAGCATGGCTCCACCAATTTAAAGGAGATTTATTGAGCAGAAAGGTTGACGCTCGGAAGGCTTGGAAGGCGATGCACCAGCCACGATTTCTGAGCTCGAGCCGCTGCTGCACGCTCAATGCTGCTGCCTCTGCGCCGAAGTACTTCCTCTTCTTTACAATACCCTAAATCACGCAGAGTGAATATGAGCACTGATATTTCAATAAAAGAAGTATTTTCTTTAACTCGGCAAACAATGATGAAGTCCACAGAAAACTTCACCACTTCGGTCAAGTTGTTTGACAGACTAGTGATAGTTATTCGTCCCTCAGTTGTGTAGTCGCGAATCGCTACTAAGGTGTCGATAGCTACTCGGAGCAAAAATCTCGACATGAGTAAATTTGATGTCAGTGCTCTTCTAAGTTCCCCCGTCCCGCCGGTAGATATGCGCTGCCGTCAGCGGACAAATGGGCACGCCGTGTTGTTACTTCATCTGGTCAATCGCGTTTCACGAGTGTCTTGGTCTAATGAGTACATATATCCGACACCGCCGTTTACGGTTAGGGTCTGCTCGCTTGGATTGATTGATGACAGAAATTACAGGTGGCCAACGTGGCCTACATTTCTCGCTCGAATTAGCGCAACTGAGAAATTTTGAGGCTGGTCGGGAATTTCGGCACAGCATAGCATAAGCTTAGCAAATTTCATAATTAAGGCGCAGCTCTGCGCCCAATTGAGAAATTGTATCGAATTGGCGCAACTGGCGCAGCTGTTGCACCCCTGCTCAAGCAAAGAGGAACATGCCGCCCATCTTCAAGGAGCATGAAGGAACTACAAATGTAAGTAGGGGAAGGGGGGGGTGTAGTGGACTTTAATGATGTGAGCGCTATTGTGGCAGGCATTACAGATGGATCATTTACCATTTTACGTGTTGTACTTTTAATGCGAAAAAACTGCGCGAAAAGTACTTCACTTTCTGAAGCGGCCATATAGGGAGTATGCACTAAGTCTTGAGTGCAAGACACCCACACCATTTTCACGCTATTTTGGAGGTCCATTCATATTCACCGTTTGTGCTGTACGTGCATCAGCATGCACATACACGCTGATGCACAAGATGTGTTCCAGGGATCTCTAGTGATCCATGTTGCTGTACCGATATCGAACAGAACCCATGCAGCACATTTCTTGCGCATTCGACGAGTGCGCAGACCTTCGAAATGGTGCTGCTCGCAGATGATGTCAAGCCTTACTTTACTTGGTATAATTACTTGATATAACAATACAATTTTTTGGAATCGTGGGGGGTCGTCATGTGTTCATTTTATTTCAGTGTGATAGCCAGCGCCGTTGACAATCCATACTACGTTAAATTAAGGCCTTAAGTCACAAAATAACAACACAATAAAAGCCAAAACACAGTTTTGCAACTGTGCTAAACAGTTGCGAGCAGTGCGAGAGCGGACGGTGTCAATCAAAACTTAAATGCTAAGCTTTTTGCACCAAAGCGCCATCTGTCGAATGCAGGAGAAACTTCTTTGCATTTAGCACCACACAAGCACAGCGGCACGAAAACAAACCAAAAAACAAAGTGCATGGCCTTCGCAATGGCAGGCATGCAGTGTAGAAACGCGGCATGCGCCCGCCATCTCGGAGCCCACGCAAAGTACAACCACGCCGATGATGCGTCGTGCACCCGCAACAATTGCGCGCTGCCATTTGACGCTGTTTTTTGTTGTCGGGTTTGTCATAGTGAACTTATTTGGACACCTGCTGTGCAGAGCTTGTTCGGCCAGTATGCTAGCTACATGGCTGCTTTAAAACCAAAGCTTTGTCGAGCATGCACTGGAGCATGGGAACCGAGTGGCTAGACGACATTTCGGCGTCAATCCTTGCACTTTTGTAATGAGAAAAAACGCGAAAAGCTTCGGACTACAAGAAGTATTCGTCACGCATTTCGCTGGCCAAAAGAAGCAAAGATGTTGTGCGAAATTTTCACTACCATAAGTCTCGTGATTTTTTCTCCCCCGTAATGAACCCTCCTCCCAAATTGGCGTCAACATTTCTGAAAAAAAAAAAAAAAAAAAAAGGTGGGTTCAATGCGCCAGTAAATACGGGACCTTTTGAATTAGATAGCACCTAACAGAACGCTGGTTAAAGAGACTATGATTACTTCAGGTGCTGAAGCGGTTCTCGTGCTGTCACTTATCTTAATGGGAAGCAGAGGTTAATAACACAGAAAGTTAACAAGGAGTCTCGTGATGCCTCGAGACAGTGTGTGCCATTCGAGGGACGTAGCCTATCTCTCCTCCCCCGCCACCCAAACAAACTAAGGAATGAATGAGATGCCGTGATGCCCTTTTTTTTTTTTTTTTTTTGGAGTGCGAGAGGCAGACGTGTAATAAGGACTAGCCGCCTCACAGTCGGTCTTCCGGTACAGGGGCCGCGAGCAATTGGCTCACTACTACTGAAAGCTGCGCTTATTAAAACTGAATTGTGGCTGCTCCGACCAAGGGGCACGCTTTTATTAATAAGATAACATAAAAAAACAAGAAAAATCTGAATTCAGACCCTAGCACTCAGGAGTTCAAAAGGACCGGTATAACAATACCGGGCGGGGCCTTTACCGCAACAGTGATTACAAACAAGGATTTGCTGGTGAAAGGAATGACGAAAAAGCTCTTCGGAAGGAAGATCTATGAATAGGAGAGGAAAAAGGATAATGAATTCCCACCGTTCACCATTCTTCTGTGGACAACAATCACTAAAAATTAGTTGTAGCAAATTGCTAATTGGAACATACTCGTCACGTTCAGCGCACAAAACGGACAAAAAACACAAGAAAGTGCACTACACAAGCGCTGCTGCGTCTTTTTGTGCACTGATCATGATGAGACGGAAAATGAGATCGCCATGTCCAGAAATAGATACCGCGGACATTGTGGCGGCACATTACTAGAGAAAATAGCTCCGGTTACGTGCAGTGCAACTCTTCAAACGAGCTATCAGCAGCGTTCCTAGAACAGACGACATCCGCCGGTGAAGCGCTGCCACAGCTACAGGCTATCAATTGAACTAGACATCATGAGCCCCTGCGAAGAGTGCATTCTTCTGTTGAGCCAACTTGCACAACAGAAGTTGCATTGGCACAGAGCACAGCATCATATATTACTTGGGATGTACGCGCAACCCTTGTTTATTTAGGTGCGTGGTTGTCTTTGATGTCCCCAAGAACATGCTGCACATGTTCTGACGCGCCAGCCTGACTACTGCCGGTGATAGACGCTCCCAAATCCTACTTTGACGCAGTTTGGTGCAATTTCCATTGATAATATCAGGATGGCGCAGTAAATCTGATTTGGCACTCTTTGGTGCAATGGGTGCAGGAGTGGAATCCCTAGACAAAGAATGTATTTTATTGCATAACCAACGTATTTGTTGTACTTGTATTTTTTGGAAAGCAATGTGTGCTACCCTTTCTTGTTGCCTGTATTTTTACCATATTATGATATATTTCCACCATCTTGAAATCCCCTATGGGAATCTTTAAATGAAAGAAAGTAAATAACCTACAATGCAATGCCGACACCCGCAACCAAAGCAGCCAGCAAAAAACAAACACTCGCATAGAAAAAGCTTTACTTCTGGCTCACCTCCAGTGTCGAAGCCTAGGCTGCTCTCTTTCAGAGGATAGGGTTTGCCCTGCACACAAGGACAGCAGGATCATCAAGCTAGTGCACAAAGGACCAGGGACCCACAAACCATTTAGAGTCCACGGGGACAGCAGGATTGTCACATTAAGCGAGTAAGTTGGAGATCTGTGATTTAAGTCAATATTATAGCATTACATGAGGAACATATAGCATATGCCATAAAAAATATTATTATCTATATTGTTGAAGCAGTACAAATGAGCGCATAAAATACAGATGCTTTGGTCTTCCTTTATTCCAGCATTTTTGAACTGTTGAAACTGTAAACAGACACACTATATCGGGGTTAGAAATACATGGTGCTCTATGGACATATGTCATAACATAAAGTACGGATGAAGCACTTCAGAAAACTTGAGTTTTGTGCTACAAAATGCTTAGTCTGAAAGCAAATGTTGTGGTTCGGACACCCATCAATGCAATTAGAAATCCCACTTGAGGCAATGACCTTTTAAAGTAGCGCTTACCATGAGCACACTACCCTGCAGCTGGCACAGCACAGCCAGGCAAGAATATAACTTGACTTGTTCTCGAGAGTGTAACAATAGTTTTTGTTTTGCATTAAACCAGACTGAGATGGTTCTTTTTCTGTCATAGGGAGTTTGAGAGCTTGCGATTGATTGTACTGAGACCTTACTAGGTCATCGGGTTCTAGTTGCAGGACGTCCCACTAGTGGTGCAAGGCATATCCCACATTTTACCTCAATGTCACAGTTACTGACGCACTGCTGTGTATACTAATTTAGATGTTGTAAACATTCTGAAGCACTGACTGTTGAAAATTTATTCACCCTTGGTGTCCCTTTGAATAGTTTGCTGTCTGTCAACTGTCCTACCTGCGTACTGCGTTGCTTGACAGTCTCCAGGCCAGTGGTCGACAGCCGCTCCTGGATCAATGCACACACACCCTGCACAAGGGGCACCACCAAACACAACAAACACGCCTCAGAAGATGTGCGCCCCAGGCTTGAGTCCAAATGACAATAATAGCATACCTGCCAAGTTCAAGAATTCTGAACCCAGGAGATTCATGCGACCGAGGGAAGGGGGGGGGGGGTTAGTGCTGATTGATGTCTTTTTTTTTTTTTGCACAACAAATTCGCAAAAAAAAAATGGCGAAGGGGGGGGGGGGTCCAGCAACCCTGCGAACGTAACCATTGGCGTCGCGGTCTTATAATGGCTTGGAGTGGCTGAACACACGATGGTTCCTACCTAGTAGTAGAAAGCTCGAGTCTCAAAGCGCAAATACTCCCAAAGCTCCGAGCCATGAAAACAACTTGCAAAATCATTTCTATCAAAAGAAATGTCTTCCAGAGACACACCTGAACAGAGGAGACTGAGCATGGGTTAGAGATTCGCTACATTACTAGATTCTTTCAACAGGAATGCCAAAATGCTTCCAGCTTTTTTTTTTTTACTTTTTCAGTGATTTTAATCTGCTGCTGTGTTAACTGCGTGCCCTCGGAGCTCGTAGATCGCTATCACGCCGCTGCGACATTGGCTGCAGCTAAAGGTAGATCTATTTTCAAACGCTCTGCACTGGCTGTGCACGTGCTTTAAGTTGTTTTCTACTATGATCGTATTTGCCGCAGTTTTGTCCACAGCGTTTGTGGAAAGCGGCATCGTTTAACTGGTCGGGCGATGAACGTGAGCACACTTTCAGAGTGCTGTCAGTTACGTCGTCACAATACTTGATTCTGTCAAGAGCAATCACTGTGGTCGTGGCGCGCACACTTTGAGCACGCTGCTTTTGGGCTTCGTTCGACGATTTCGCTACTAAAGTTCATATGAAATTGTTCGGCGCGTACGAATTTTGACCCAATGGACACAGTGAAATTCGGCTGGGTAATTTTGCGAATTCGTATCTGCAGGTTTCACATCACTGTGATGGGTTCACAAAACGTCTGGATCGGATTGATTGGCTTGCATTTTCGTCAGCCCAGCCAGATCATGCACAGGTATTTCGATTTCCAGAAGGTTTTCATGACAACCGCACAAACGTGAGAAATGGTCAAAATCCGCGAGTCTCCCGGGTGTTCCTGGAGGCTTGGCGAGTATGGAATGTCTAGTATGGAATAATGACACGCTATTGCCAAGTGTATTAAAACAATCTGTAATCTCATCAATACTTCACTGCACTTGATTTATTTGTGGGGTTTAACGTCCCAAAACCACCATATAATTATAAGAGACACCGTAGTGGAGGGCTCCGGAAATTTCGACCACCTGGGGTTCTTTAACGTGCCCCCAAATCTGAGTACACGGGCCTACAACATTTCCGCCTCCATCGGAAATGCAGCCGCCACAGCCGGGATTTGATCCCGCGACCTGCGGGTCAGCAGCCGAGTACCTTAGCCACTAGACCACCGTGGCGGGGCACTTCACTGCACTTGGTGAATGAAAGAAAATGAATTTTAAAAGCTCTTTTCTCTTGTTAGACATTATAATAACGACAACACTAACAGACAAGAAAGCCAAGGAAAGTATAAGAAAAGTTAAGTGTGGAACACACTTTTTGCCTGTTGGCATCACACAGCATGCATGCGGTGCCATGGGCTATGTGACACCAACAGGTAAAAATAGTGTTCCACACTAGCCGTAATGGCAATGGGTGGCGCTGACTGATGCTCTCATGTCTAAATGCACATATGTCCTTTATGATGTGGACGGAGGAATGACCATCACTGTAGCTAAGTGGTAGAGCATCGGCTGTGCTATTCAAAGGTTCTGTCCCTACCGGTGGCAAGTTATCTTCTCATCCCCATTTCTTTTTTCACATTGACCATACAATTTCTTCTAATACCGTATTTAATCAAATCTAGGCCGATAATTTTTTCCAAATTTCTGTGTATTAAACTCCAGGATGGACTTAGATTCGAGGATTTCGAAAAAATTGGCAGATCCCCCATAGAATGGGAATTGATGGTATGCAACAAATCAGGAAGGTTGATATGTGACTTTAAAATCAGCAGAACGTTACGAGCGTAAACCTTTTTCAATGAGAATGTTTCAGTCTTTTTCTGGCTGCTTTGGTTGCGGGTGTTGGCATTACATAGTAACGTAATGTAATTACAAGTAAACGACTTCTATGTCATGGTTATCATCTTTGCACATGCCATTCACCTTCATTGCCCATTCACGTCACATGATACTAAATTTGGTATATGTGAAGCTAGCGAAATAACCATGAGCACGCTATAAGCTTAGCATGTAGTCATGTTTTACATGACACGCATGTCATGATTATCATTAATCGGTGCATGTCACCAGTAATGGTAATCCATCCATGAGAGCCTAGATGTGCGGCAAAATATCTAGTAAGTGTACTGGGAGGCACTGAAGCTATTTCAGACGTGGCTGCCACGATTTGACCACTTGAGCAGAATAAAAAAAATCATCAATTAGTTTTTTTGATTCCGATATTATGGACGATTTTGCGGTCTCTAAAAAGTCCAAAAAATCAGGCCATTCACTGTGTCGTGCAAGATAACGATGTTAGGCACAGTTTGTCTCGTCTATTTCGAGCTTCTAGATACACCTCCGGGCCACACAACGAGCAAAGGAGGTGGCGGATAGACACGGCCTTACCACCATCCCTCTGTTACAAAATATTCTCACTTCAATAAAGCTCTTTATCTCCCTTTCTTTGCTCAGCTCGAATAGCGTTGTATGCAAGTGCACTGAGATTTTGCTTTCAATGGGAAAACTTGATCTGTTTTGTTTCTGAAAGTCAGCATACACCTTTTGGTGCAGGTTGGGTGCAGACACCCTAAATTTTAAGGAAATATAACAGGATGTAGCAGCAAGGGCACTTGGGCGCAATTTGGGGCAATTGGCGCAGCGGGAGCGTCACTGCAAGTTACATGGTGTATATGCTTTAAGGGGAGACGCGGGTCGAAAAGTCGTGGTTTTCCGGAAAATTTTCGCTTTTTTTTTTTCCGGCTGTATTGGCATCCTTGGACTATAATCTATTACTTCTGAAAATATCAAGCTGAAATTCGCACGAGAAATTATCAAAAAATGCTTCCAAGTGGGCAGCGTTGACGCGAGAAATGCGCGAAAGTCGCGAAAAACGGCGAAGTTCGTGTCGTCCTGTCGCGAAAACGACGCGTTGGCCGCCATTTGCAATCGTGCACGCATGCTGCGAAGGCCGTATCCTTCATAATCCACTAGTAGCCAGTCTCGTGCCTTCACGCAGAATAAACAAAAAACGAGAAAAACAACGCGTACGTCACGCGTTTTCAATAATGCGGCACACAGCGCGAGGCCGCCATTGGACGGCGGTGCGCTCCACGCTCCTCCCCCTCCTATCTCTCCGGCAAAAGAGCGAAGCCTCGGACGTCGCGATCGAGTTTTTATGCGTTTTTCTGCATTTTTGCGTCATGGCAAGCCCGAAGAAGTGCAGTTCAGATAATCGAAAGTTCAGAACTCGCCACAAGTATCGAGGGAAATGGCGTCGGACGCTTCGCAAAGTGACAGCGAACGACGATGTCGTCCCCGACCAACGCCCCGACGCTCCGACTTCGGATAGGCCTAACACCGTCACCGAACCCTGCGACAGTGGTTGTGAAATAGCCGCTGCCGTGGAATTCGTCAGTGCATCCCAAAGGAAGATTCGATTCTTCGAGAGTGAACGTAGACCGGTAGATGCTGCTACTGCGAACATGCTGCTTTGCGAAATCGATGCGCTGATGGCACTTGTGGCGGGTGCGCAATGCCCAACCTACCGCGAACGGAAGCTCGGCGTGCGAGAGGCAGCTGGAAAGTGCAAAGGACTTTCGGCATTCCTCGAACTGTGCTGTCAAAATTCTGATTGCCCTGAATCTGCACTTTCGTTCACGCACACGTCGAGACGTACTGCTTCGGCCGGGGACCAAGGAACGAGCGCTCGTTTTGACAGCGGCAGCTCGCGTGACAGCTTTGCTGTAAACGTGAAGGCAGTTCTGGCAGCACGCGCTATAGGCGCAGGCCACGACCAACTTTCACGATTTTGTGCGATTCTCGGTCTTCCGAGCCCTATGCATCACAAGACATTCAACGGCATTTGCAAGAAGCTCCATGGTGCGGCGATGACGGCAGTGAGCAAAAACTTGCACCAGGCACGAAACATCACGAAGGACGCAGTCGGCGGCGATGTGCCAGTCATGTTTGATGGCACCTGGCAGAAAAGAGGTCATAAAAGCCACAATGGAGTGGGCACAGTCGTGTCCCTGGACACGGGGCTCTGCCTCGATTTTGAAGTTCTTTCGAACTACTGCCATGCTTGCAGTATACACAGGGACCTTGGGGAGGATGAAGAGATATGGCGAGCTTTTCATCTTCCAGTTTGCCAAAAAAACACTGACTGCTCATCCCATGCAATGGAACCTGCGGCAGCTGTCAATATATGGCAGAGGACCTTGTCTTACGAAACTCCACTGCGATTCACCAGCTTCCTAAGTGATGATGACAGCAAGGCCTACACTGCAGTCTGCGAGGCAAACGTATACTGTGACACCCCCATTAACAAAAAAGAGTGCACGAACCACGTTGCAAAGCGCTTGGGAACTGCCCTACGGAAATTGGCAACGCCACTGCCACGAGGCGAAAAACTGAAAGATGCGACAATAATAAAACTACAAACATATTACAAGATCGCCATCACGAGCAACAAGGACAGTGTCCGAAATATGAACACTGCCATATGGGCATCGTATTTTCATTGCTGCTCCAGTGATGGTGCCAGTAGCCACAACTTTTGCCCCGCGGGACCAAATTCGTGGTGCAAGCACAAGCGTGCGGAAGCACTGGGGGAGCCTGCACCACGCCACACCCCACTGTTGACGAAGGCTCAAGGATTGGCAATTATGCCTATCTACAAGCGCCTTACAGAGGAGAAACTCCTTATTCGGTGCCTTCATGGCAAGACACAGAATGCAGCCGAATCGCTGAACAGCAAGATATGGCTGCTAAGTCCAAAAACAAAGTTCGCCTCCAGAACAACTGTGGAGACAGCCACCGCTCTTGCTGTACTCTGGTACAACAAAGGCCACAGGGGCTTTGAAGAAGTGCTCGAAGGCATTGGAATTCTCCCCTCACAAGATCTGGCCACACATGGTGACCACTGTGACGTCATGCGCATCAGGAAGATGAACCTGAAGCGAACTGCAGAAGCGAGGGCACACCGTCGCAACACAGCGAAGAGAGCTCGTGTTGAGGACACTGACCGCAAGAGCCGTGAAGGACCAAGCTATGGTGCAGGGGACTTCTAGACACTTGCAGTGCATTCAAGGCAAGGTACTTTTCATTGTGCCCCAATTTGATGCAAAAAGAATGATTTCCTAATAAATGCCAACTTTGCGAACTTTCAAACTTGTTTTTCTCATTTTCATTTTTTCTGACAGTTTCACGTTTTCCGGGCAGCCTTTTAAAAAACTTATATTCATTGTATAGTAACGAAACTTGGCACACATATTCTTCAACACATGCAGAATGCAAATATCTACTCTAAATTGCAATGCCTACCAGCATTAGTTGTGAAAGTACTAGCTTATTGTTTCAAGGGAGATTGAAAATAATAAGTCATTCAATACAATTTTTTTTTCTTGGTTCCAATATTTCTGTGACATATCTATATAGATATTTGCACTTTTCAATCTACCAAGAGTCAAATAAGATCAGACACAGTGCTTTTACTGAAAGTTTAGTACATAAAAGAGTGCCCGCAAAAAATGTAACTTTTTGCTATTGTTTATGGCATAACTCAATAATTATAGCAGCTACACAAAAAATGATTGCATATTTGAAATCTGCATGAAAAACTATACTAATAACAAACTTTTCGAGTCTCTATTATTAGAAATAAAAAAAAAACTTTTTCGAGGAGCGTCTCCCCTTAATTTGGCGAGTTGTGTTATATAAGCAGTTCATGGTATAAAAGAAAGATAATCCGACCAGCACTGCACAGACGTGCATGTTTTCCTTAGTCTACGCATATTCACAGCTACGGTAGCATGGTGTGTGCACGTGAAGATGCTGGGGCGTTTTCGACCTCGATAAATAGTAGCTTAGTTTTCAAAATATGAAAACGCCATGTTTGGCGCAGCTTTGATGCAGAACAGTATAGAAGGATATAGTAGCATCAGTGTTTCCGCCTAGTTTTGTGCACTTGGCACAGCTTGAAGTTGCTCAAAGGGTTCAAGTGCAAGAATGTTACTAGAGGAACGACCTACTTGTAGCGTAACTATGTGATCTGGATGCTGAGTGACTCCAAGATACTGTGCCAGTGCTTGCACTCCTTGTCGAAACTCTTGACAGTCAACTGCAACACACAGGGTAAACCGAGCATTATCAAACAGGTCAGCCGTAGTGGTGCAACACACGTGATCATTAGAGACCGGATTATAGGAAAATGCCTGCTTTGTTCCTTGCATTCCTATCGTGCCATTTTGATATACGAGCGCAAATTAAAGGTTAAGAAGGGCTTTTATAGTTTTTTTATAGTGCCTATTAATGCCTATTTATCGTGTTCCCGCCTAAGTTCCTGTAAGTGCCTATGAATGCCCATTTTCCAAATCAGCGTCTATATGAGCGCTTTTTAAGCCCAAATTTTCTTTTCGAGCATGATTTGAAACCGTTATTCATGTGAAAAAGGCAATATTGCTATCTTCAAACACTATGAGCTTCAACAAAGTCCAATATTTCTAACATCTCCCGAAAAAAAAAAAAAAAAAAACCGCTAACCGCAGTAAAATGGCACTCGCTGGCCACCTTATGCCACAGAGCTGACACGCTGCGAATTATTGGAGGAGGAGCATGAGAAGTGCAAAAAAAAATGACATCTCTGCAGCCCTAAGTCTACAGTGGAATGAGGAGAGAGAATTGAAGATGGGATAAGAAATAAGAGTGGCATCTATGGGCGAGGACATGGCGACCGTCTTCTACAGACAGCTGTCCAGTGTCCTTAAAGAACTGAAGAACCGCCCTTAAAACCTAGGTGTTGGGGTGGGAAAGAAGCAGCAGGTTTTTCTGTGCAGCCCCGGGTAGGTGGAGAATGAATGAAAAACCACGGAGGGCCAGACATCGAATTCTCATGTTGATTCACTGGTGGTCAAGACCGCCAAATCGTTATACTATATACAGCGAAGTCTGAGACAGGTGCCGGCACGTTTACAATCAATGGTGTATTTAGCATACATTCACCCTATGCCTGAATATGCTTGTGCCGTATGAGATTCCTTGGTATATGTCTGTAAGTGAAAAACACGAAGAAATACAGAACACACCTGCAAGGTTTGCCCAAAGCCACTACTCAAAAAATGACAGCTGTACCAATATGAAAAATGAGCTAGTATGGGAATTTATCATCACATCGAAGTAAACCGTGGCTAAAGCTCCTATGTCAAGGATTTAATGGTCAAACTGACATTCGAAAATGAATTACCTAAAGAGTCTTCTAACGGTAATTGTTTAAAATTTTAGAATGTCGTATCAGATCTAATATTTATATTATTTCACTTTTTGTTGTATTCATGACTGAATGAAATGGATTATAAAGAGAACAAGTGTGCTGTATCAATGAAGGTATGTTTTCATTGACATTGTAACCCATCTGCCGCAGCGATTTTGGGTAATAATTGTGATGTGCACGCGCCTTTTGTTTTGTTTGTAATTCACTTCTTCAAGCACCCCTCTTTAGGTGACATAAGAAGTAGTACTTAGACACTAGAGGTTTTTGCATGCCCAATGAAAGGAGTTCTACCACGTTGATTTTTCCAATTGGCTTTGCTACGAGCCACAAAGCCATGATGCGAAGAGGCAAGCTTGGATCCCTTGCCTCTTGCCCCACGTAGCCATCGCAAGCCTAATTCCTTCCCTGCTCTCTTCGGTATCCGAGCTGGAGGATCAGACAATGCACACGCACCAAAAACATCATGCATAAGCAAGGTCACACTTGTATGACGTGCCCTAGCCTATGTGTGCACGTACGTGATCGATGTTGTGTCGTTTCGGTGTTCTCTGTTGTGTATTACCCGCTTCTGTGTGATGAATCGGTCAGTGTGCGTACATTAGGAAAGGCTGGCATGGATCATGTATCGTGACCGCGATACATGACGTCCCTCCGCTGAAACTGCGGTCAGAGACGATTCACAAGCTAAGCGTTGTCAGGGTTGGGGAAGGCACGATGCAGGAATGACGAGAAGACGAACACGAGCGAAATCGGGGAGTAGTAGTCATAGTATATAGTAGTTGTAGTAGTAATAATAGTACATGTGGTTTTACGTGAAAAAACCACGATTTGATTATGTAGGATGCCGTAGTGGATATCTCTGAAAATTTTGGCCATCTCGTGCCCTTTAACGTGCACTGAACATCGCGAAGTACGCGGGCATCTATACCTTTTAGCCTCCATCTAGACGCGAAAGCCGCAGCCGAAATCGAACCCGCGGCATTCGGGTCAGCAGCGAAGCACCCTAGCCACTGGTTCACCGAGGTGGACGGGAAAAGTGGGCCGATTAGTGTATAGTATCTCACGGTCATTGAAAACAAAAATAAAAATAATAACAAGCTGACATTCCATTTGCGTGTTTTATTTTTCTTAGCTTTCGTTCATTATACTCAGTTTTAAAGGGCAGTGCAAAGACACAGAGAAAAGAAAAACATAGAAACAAAGGGCGCTGTCTGTCTTTTTCATTCGCGTTGCGCTTCCCTTTCAAAATGATATAAAGCAGCTAGCCCAAACCATAGTACTCCTCAGTCATGCTTCAGAACAGAACACACAAAGTACACACGCCAACTAGAATAATGTCACATGCAACTCTCTAATGAGGTACCGTTCTAAATGCAAAATACAATCATGAGACGGGACATTTTTCATTCGTTTTTCTAGATATAGCTAGCATTTAACATTGTTCTGATGTGTTTGATGAAGAGTGCACGGTGAGCGATGTCAGAGCACCAATGTCAACATAAAGGAGCGAATGTAAAAGCAGGACCATTCCTTGATGAACGTCACTCCATCTATCTTGGGGCCACACGCCCGCAAGAAGAGCAAATGATATTCAGTAGAAATTTAGAGTTTTTCCGTGACATGTAGTGTTGCAAATCTTAACAGATTGATTGATTGATATGTGGAGTTAAACGACCCAAAACCACGATATGATTATGAGAGACACCGTAGTGGAAGGGCATCATGAATTTGGACCACCTGGGGTTCTTTAACGTGCACCTAAATCTGAGCACACAGGCCTACAACATTTCCGCCTCCATCGGAAATGCAGCCCCCACAACCGGGATTCAATCCCGCGACCTGCGGGTCAGCAGCGGAGTACCTTAGCCACTAGACCATCGTAGCGGGGCACAAATCTTAACAGGCATGATACTGAGGGCCCAGTGCATTCATTACGCTTGTCAGCTCGAAATGCCCAAACCAGTGAGAAGCCCTCTAAGGTGTTCATGGACAGGCGAGAAGTTGACCCTACGCGATTAGACCTGGCATCACTCCCTTCTGGGGTATCAGTAATCTGGTTATCTGCTCCTGTGCTGCCCTTTCCAGTCACGACGAAACCAAAGAGACCCAGAATAGTGTTGATTGGACGGTAGACACTTGACTCGTAATGCTAGACAATAAAACAAAATACCGTAATCTGCGAATCGTGTGGCAAAATGCATGCTTATGTTCAACTGTTGGTGCCTTTGTGCTTTCTTAAACGATATCATTTTTTTTGCTTCTTGTCATAGACACAAGTCACGGACGCCATTGTTTTAAATCATTTCAATTTTTGTAAAAATCAATGTGCCCATATTTATGATTTTGAAGGCCTAAAATGGTGATTTACCTGCCTGTCTTTGGTGCCTAAAACACACTTTTTTAGTGCCTGAAAATCCGGCCTCTAGTGATCATAACCACTATGATAAAACAATGAAAAGCTCTCTGTTAAGCACACGATTGCCTCTGGATTGTTTTTGCTCAAATTTCACAGCTACAGTCATCACCCACCAATTGGGCACAGCCCCCCTGATCAGGTCAGCCATTGAACAACAGCTTCACAAGTGCATCTTAATTTAGCCATGTGGTCGAGTAAATACAGCAATATGTTAGATCCGACACATTGCCAGTGCCTCGCTATACTAAACCGAAACTATGAAACAAATAGATCTCACAACCACAACCAAATTTGAAGAACAACAACTAATAAACTGCATCTCACATAAATCTGCCCTCGTGACAAACAGAGAGCATGCTACATTATTAAGAATGTGAAGGCAGTATTAATCAGACTTTAAATCAGGCACACACAGCTCATGCAGACAACTAGCCAGTTGCAAAAAGCAAGACCAGCCAATATGTGATATACTACAAGCACCACTGACAATACTGCACTGCAATTAAATGTCGCTCAGCTGCCAACTGAGCGAGTTGATGTACGGATGCATACTAATGAAACGGTACTGAAAATAAGATGAAATCATTCCGAACTCATGAACACAAGCACCAACACTTGACTGAAATTCTGTCGAAATGCATGCACAGAACTTATGAACTTGTGCATTAGAATAAAATTTCACTCGAGAGTTCGGGCTTGTGTTTGTATGCCCTTAGTGGTTTCTTTTCATTTTCTAGTGCCGTTTCACAAATATAAATTCTGATTATGTGCCGCACTATTTGCTAGCTGTACCACTTATGATTTCCACTCATTCACACAGCTAGCTCAGGACAACTGGTAAACCATTTTAGCCACTAAACACCAAGAGCACGCCAATAAGTTTGCTTCTACAAGAGAGGTGCTGATACAAAAAACAGTCCGGCAAAATAAACCATGCATGTCTTGAGGCCAAAGCCAATAGTAGACATATCGAGCAACAGCCTGCCTATGCTTTCACAGTGACTGCAAGGCGATTTAGCTCTTAACTGTGAGACCAGCCTTAAGTTATGTGAAATTGGCAAAACACTTGAACCATTGGCTTCCGCATTCGGCGATCCGCTGGCAGTGGCGGCGAGACCAACAACGCTTTGACCAACAAATCGCTGGCCGCTCATAGAATGTTTGTTTTGGACAATTCACCATATTTGCACAGCGCAATACTACAAGTATTTACAGCATAACTACTCGTAGTCTTGCTCTATACAATAATGTTGATTCTCAATCACCAACTAGCCCAAGCATCTGCCTTATCAAGTTTTATAGATGGCAGCACAATATTTAATTGTTAGCTGGATATGATCTCAGCTAATTGAACATAGTTGTGCACTGTTCTTTAGTGGCGAAGGGTGCACGTTCCCGGCTTTTTCGATACATGGCATCAAGCAAGAACCTGCCC